GCAGGGTTTTCTCCCAATTACTGGGTCCTAACTTATTCCACTCTAACTTAAATGCATCAGGCAGTTTACATCCGAGACTGTCCTGATTTTTTAAAAGTTGTTTAATATTTTTCTCTTGTTCTAGCCATGGTAGTAGCTGTTTATGTTGCTTCACTAAAGCAGCCGAACCCCTGAATTTTGAGCCCCTGTGCACCAAACTCTCCCTTCCAAGGTACCCTGTTGCTGGGATGGAGACCAGATTCAGAAAATTATTTTCTATTTTAAGCCCAGAGTTGCCTCTGTAACTGCAAACCACTGGCTTGGTTCATCCATTCAATCATTTGTTCATTTACACATTCATTTATTCACCCAATAATTTTTCCCCTGGTTGCCAGGTAATGTTCTAGGTATAAAAAGATGACTAAGGCAGAAATAACATATGGATGCAAAAGGTGTCTAAGCCTACAGTAGAGGTCTCTGATATTTCAAAGCTTTCTTTGCTGCTGTGCGGAGGATGGCACTGCCTGGACCTGAGTTCTAATCATAGCTGGGCCACTTGCTTCCATGTGGCCCTTGGGTGAGTCACACCACCTGCCCATGGTTTAGTTTATGTTAACCTTTAAAAAACATTTTTGTTTTGTGTTTAATGTTCCACATACCTCTCAGGACTGTCCTGAAGATTATAAAATGATACAGCAAATGGGACAGAGCTTCTAAACTGTAATACTCCTTGAAAACTTGTGATGCACATGGTATTCCAGTCTTCATGATAAGGAATCCCCTGCTTGAGGGAGAGTGGAGAACATGGGGCCCACAGGCTCGGTTGATAGAAACCTGCCACTTTAACACTGTCAAAGCTGTGAGTTTAAAATTTCCTTAAAAGGGCCCCCATCTCTTCTTTTTGATGTTTCCAGAGCAACTGGGCCAGCAAGATGGCTCAGCAGGTAAAGGTTGCCACTTAGCTTGCCACTAAGCCTGATGACCCAAGTTTATTCTTTAGGATTTACAAGGGGGAAGGAGAGAATCAACTTCCTCAGATTGCACTCTGACTTCCATAGGCATCCATTAGCATGAGTGCTATCCACAGTAAATAAATAAATGCAAAATATTTTTAAAAGAAGGGATCAATTAGTAGTAGTTCACAGCAGCTGTGGCTTTTCTCTCATGTTGCCAGGGACTGAACAGAACAGAACCTAAAGCAAACTTGTGGGCTAGTGGTCCTCTTAGCACACAATGAAGCTGGCCCTTTGACTTGGGGGGCAAGAGGAAGCCGGAACAGAAGCACCCACTAGCCAGTCAGCGCCTGTCCTTCCCTCCTGTCCCTCAAAACAGGGACATGTTTCTGGACACAGATCATTTCACATTCCACTCTCTAGGTGGAGGTGAAGTTCTCTTAATTGAAGGCTATTTTTCATCTACTTCATTTCCTTCTATTCTTCCCCATGGAAAATAGGACTCCATGCATGAAATTTAATCTGAGAAAGGGAAAACCAGAAAGCAGCAAGTCCATGAGCAGGATAGGCCCCTCTCCTTGCAAACCCAACACCAGGCCTCTGGCCTCTGGCTGCCAAAGCCCTGAGCAGAAAGAATCACTTCTCAACCAGTGTGCTTCAGTCTTAGCACATGCCCCCAACTGAGCATGCGCTCAGTGAGGATCCCAGGAATAAATGAATAAATCCATGGGAGTTGTTTGGATTTCAATATAAATGGATCTTGGACCTGAGAATCTGCCAGATGGGCAGACAGGTCTGGTGATGTGTCTCCAAAGCTATAAAAACGTAGCCATGGCTGGAGCTGCACACTGGCATTTTAGAAAATGATTATATGCACAATTTAAGCACTTGGCCGTCCCTGCCCTCCAAGTGCTGTTGCTTCAATGGCTGCATGGATACTGCCTTTCTTGATCCTTCCTCTTTTTTTTTTTTTTTTGAGTCAAGCAATTTTTTTCTCAGCCCCTCACATTTCTAACAGTGTGATTTATCCATACAAAATTATGCTCCATTTTTATAAAACCCAAGTTGCTGCAAATGATGCCCGAGGTTCCACAGAAAATATTAATTCCTGATCTGCTGCTATAAAGCATGCCTGCTCTCCCTGCAGAGGCTCCGTTGCCCCAAGACAGATGGAAGCAGTCTCAGGGTATGATTAACTTCTTAGTCCCGGCAATTTCCTCATGCTCCTCTGGCCGTAGACTTCCAGATTGACCTCCAGCTTCTCTGCAAATGAACAGTCGCTTGGATTGATAAATCACACGGATCCCTCCTCTGATCAGAGCTGTCTGCTATTTACTACTTACAGAGAGAAGTTAATCATATTCAAGGCTCTTCATATGCTGCATGCAACCCTTCCTTCCTAACAGCCCTCTGCATATTCTCCATGTTACTGATAATGTGGGAGCTTCTGCAGTGCAGTCTGCACCTTTATGAAGGAACCAAGTGTCCATTTGTCCCTCTTCCCTTCACCTGTCCCCATATCCACCAAGAGCCACAACCCACAAGAAGAAAAAGCACTTGAGATTATAAGGATAGAGTGCCTGTGCAAACTAGTATCTAATAATTGCCTTATTTATCTCAAGAATATTGCCACCTCTTCCTGCCCTGGTTGCCTGTAGGCCTCATATTTCTCAAAAATATAAAACAAAAACCTACAGTCAGGTGTAGAAAAGAACAAAATCCATACAAGCTCATCTTCCTATAACATATCCTGTCATCTCAGGGTGAGGTCAGGGTGAGTGGGGTTGCAGTCCAGACTCTCACATCGCCTGGTGTACTCTTCTATGACTATTTGGGCTGAACTACAAACAAAGCCAATTGCTAGGGTCAATATCTGATGTGGCTTTTTAAAGTTAGGCAATGGATGTATTTTATCTTTAGTTGATTATGAGACTTCCCAAACTTTAGAGCAGCTGGCCTGGGTAGTAAGCTCCAGCACGCCAGGGCACAGTAGATTGACTACAGATAATGATAAAGGACTGTGTGCCTTTGAAAAAGTTAGACGAGGGCTAGTGAGATGGCTCAGTGGGCAAACATACTTGTCACTAAGCCTGATGGCCTGAGTTTGATCCCTGAGACCTAGGAGTTAGGAGAGGACTGATTCTTACAAGTTGTTCCCTGATCTCCACACATAAGCATGCATGCATATGCAAGTACACACAAAAAAATGTAAAAAGTATTTTAAAAAGCTACTAAAGGTGTTTGAATGTTTTTAATGAAGAAATGTCTGAAAAGATAAGTGCCTTAAATTTATTTATTTTACTTTTTAAAAATTTATTTAATTTACTTTTAAGTGTATGAATGTCTTGCCTGCATGCATGTATGTGCCTCTCAAGTGGCTCAGCCTTGAATTACAAAAACAGAAGTCCAGAAATATGGAGACGGCAGCTTCCCACAATGGCATCACCAGAGCAGTGTGTTAGCCCAAGCCATCACCTGGAAGTGAGCCTAGCTCCTCTAATTCTGAGTAAAAAACTTCTGGATTGAATAGGGGAATGTCCCTACCATCCTGGGGAATAGAGGAATGGCAACAATAGGAACCCCTGCATCTGGGCAGGTCACCAGCTTGACAGGGTTTTTTAGTGAGAAAATCAGAAAGAAGTCAGAGGGCTTCTCATTAAGATCTACCCACACTGGCTTCCTGGGGCTAAGTCATTTGAGAAGAGACCTTTGAATGTGTCAACTAGTTTCTGATGTACCCTGTACAATTTTAAAGGGAATGCCCATTTTCTTAAAAGATTGTTTGGTTCATTCTGACAAAGGTGGTCATGATGCTTCTCATTATATATATATATATATATAGTTTTATCAAATATTTATTTTTATATTAGGAACTTCATCCATCCAAAGGGTGTCTATCAGTGGTTTGTAGTATATCAACAGGGTTGTAGAAACATTGATGTAATAATCACAAGCTTTTCATTGTCCCCCAACAAAAGGAAATACCATATGTATTGGTAAAAGTCATTTTATGAATCTAGGTTTCCCTTGCTTTTTAAAACATTTGATTGAAAGTCTCTTACTTCCACAGAGAAGACAAAAGAAGAAAGAAATATGTGTAGGAAGAGCTTGATTCTGTCATATAGTGAGTTTGGGTCCTGAGTATCTCTGATCAAAAGGCCCAGAAGTAGCACATTTGTAGGCTTTCACACTCCCAGTAGTGGCTTGGGTCATGCAGAAGCTGCTCTCAGAGCATGTACACTTGGGTGGTTGTCACTGGGGGAAGGTTCTCAGCTGAAATAAACACACTTAGGTTCAGGCCACCTGAGAGGAAATGCTTTTTACCCATGTACTCCAGATAATTCACCTAAGCAAGGAGCTGTACCTGGGAGGAGTGCTAGACTGATGTGGTTTAGTCAGTAATCACTTATTCTGAAAGAAAGAAGTCACAAGGAAGGGAGGGACAAAGGCTGCCTAGACAACACACACACACACACACACACACACACACACACACACACACACACACGTATATCCTGGTCTGTTCTAGAAAGTGATTCTGTATTTCAGAAAAAGCAAGGTGCAAATTCCAGTTCAGTAATGCAAGGCAGGAGAAACAAGCCAAGGCATAAGAAGTCAGGCGGGAGACCAAGAGTGACTGGCTTGTAGGCATACAGCTCAAGAGAAAATCTTATCAACAGACAGAGTCCTCTGGGTGAAAAGATATGGAAAGAGTGAAGAAAACACCTCAAAATAAATGAAGTACTTATTGCTGAAAAATGAGCTTGGCTCTCAACCAATTCCAAAGTTCAGAATTTACTGCACCACTCAGGCCTTCCCGCCTAAGTTTCTTGTCTCTTGTTTCATGGCACAACAAGGGATTCTTCATACTTTATGTGAAATACAACAAGGCGATTTTTGCAGTAATAAACTCCATGCACGCACGACAAATCCAAGCACGGAGAATGTTTAACATCCCAGTTCACAGATTCTTTAGGGACAAAATCCGATTATGAATTATATGCCACAATAAATAGGGCTCAATGTTTCATAAAGCAATTTATAGTTCATAAAAATGACAAAATGTACCTGTCAGATAGGGCGCGGAGAGCTGTTCTCTGGGCTGCCTGCTGGAAGAAAGGACAGAGATGTTTATTTAATATTCTGACTTTTAAATTATGCGCTCAATCAACACTTAAAAAAATCTGTGCCACACACACTTTTTTTGTCAAGTAACCAAAATTTAAACTGTTAGCAATGTAGTAGAACGCCCTGTTATGTCATGAAAGGCACGTTTTTGGTTAAGGGGTGTTGCAGCAAGGCACACTTGCCAACAGGGGGCGAAAGTGAGCGAGTGCTGCTGAGAATTCTTCCATGGCCACTTGGGGCGGCTCTCAGGAAACACAGCAAAGATTTGAGCTTTATTTTTTCCCTACCACCTGAAATTATTTATCCACTGCCTTATCCTCATTTCCTGTAAGAAAAAAAAATCAACTTCTTTATCAGTGAAGGTGTAAATTGGTGTTGGTGTGTGTCTGTATGTTGTGTGTCTGCTGATGTGCATATGTGAGCATGGCTGGGCTGAGGCTAGAAGCCGGCACTGGTGCCTTCCTCTAAGGCTCTGTGTCTTAGTCTCCTGCATCATGGTCTCTCAGGAAACCCAAAGCTCTCCATTTCAGGTAGGCTGGCTGGTCATCAAATTCCCAGGATCCGTTTGTTTCTGCTCCCAAGCCAATGCTGATGTTCTAAGCATATGTGGCCATGCTGGGGGTTTTTTCTTACATAAGTGTTAGAGGTTTGAATTCAGGTCCTCAGGCTTACACAGTGTATACTATTTTCCATGAAGCCATCTTGCTAGCCATTGACAACATCATGCTTGACTTTTTTTTCTTGATTTTTTCTCCATTTTTAAATTTGAATTAGAAACAAGATTGTTTTACATGTCAATCCCAGTTCCCTCTCCCTCCCTTCCTCCCCTGACCCCCCCACTAATACCCCATCTATCCCATACCCTTTCTGCTTATACTTGACTTTTTAAAAATTGTTTTCTTTTAGATTTATTAAATTTCTCCATATTTGGAAACTGGATTGCTGCCTGGGCAATATCACATTATTATGAGATCACTGATATTTTTAGGCACAATAATGATGTTGTGACAACAGTTTTGTGTTTTGTTTTGTTTGAAGAGCTTTTTAGTGACCCATGGAGATGGCTTATTTGGTATGGTGCTTGCTGTGCAAGCATAAGCATTAGTGTTTGGATCCCCATCACCCTTGTGAAAACACGCACGCAAGTGCATCTTAAGCCCAGTTCTGTGGAGGCGGAGGTGAGTGTATTCCTAGAGCTTACTCCTCAGCTAGTCTAGCTTGAATGGTAAGCTCCAGGTTTAGTAAGACACCGTGTCAAAAAAAAAAAAAAAAAAAAAAAAAAAGAAAAAAAAAAAGAAGAAGAAGTGCTCCATGATCGAAATGTAGTAAGCACGCTGACTACACACTGGTGACCTGTAATGAGTCTTATCTCAAATGCAGTTCCTCCTGTTGGTGACACTCAGCCCTCCTCAAACTGACCCTCAAATGGGATGGGCTGCATCTGATACCGCTATGCTTAAACAGGCTCTGTGGCCAACTGTGGTTAAGATTTATCCTGGGCTTCTTACAGACTCTCCCTTGGTTCTGACTTCAGGACAGCTTCTCTAACTCTGCAGCCCCTTTAAACCCTTCTTTAGCCACTTTGTAATGGTGTATTCTTACATTAGTGAGAGGTATAATGTGTGATCTGAGAGTGGATATTAGTAATTGAGCTGGAATAAAGGAACTTGAGATTGCCAGTGGCTACCTACCAAACAAAATTAGGAGCAAGTTGCAGCCAGTATTTTGTAATCACCCAGTAAGTTCCAACACTGAGGGACAACAATAAAAAATAACATGGAGGGTGACTGAAGAAGACACCTGACGCTGACCTCTGGCCTTCACATATGGCATCTGCACACATGTGTATACCCTTACAAGAACGATGAGGGACGGGACTAAAGATCCAGTCTGAACTTAAAGTCGATTGGCCCGTTCCTACTATGCCTCCAAAGATTCTTCCTGCTGACCTCTAGGACAGGGCACACCAAGCGTCGATGAGTAGCTGGTTGGAAAATGATTTATAGAGCAAAGGAAGACAAACAAAAAGCAAGAAATGGCTGTGTACCCACTGAGTGCCTGTGAATCAGTGGCAACTGCTAATGACCTTGAAGGAGTCTATCCTCGACTGGTTCTATCCTAAGCTTGATGGGAAGCCTGAGACAAGGGTAGCTCTCCTTTAGCAAACCCACAAGATGTTGGCTTAGACACTGGGCACTCACCACCCATTTATCAATGTCTTTTGTCATTCTTTACTCTTCCAGTCTGTCATTGTGATGAATGTTACCACACAGTCAACACTGTGGGACTCAGCACAATTGCTGGAAGTACTATTTATTTATTTTTTTAACGTTTGATTTTTGACTGCACTTTTCATTGTAATTATTCTTTGTTATGAAATACTTTACAGAGGACAATCATCATCCATTAAGAAAGGAAATAAGAATGCATTAAACATTTAAAATCACTCTTGGTGGGGGGCAAAGCTATGGTATTAAAGTAAAAGTCATACACTGAGGCAGGGAGCAATTAGTAAGAGATTTTTGTGCCCAGTCTCCTAAACAAAACAAAACCCTTCAGTTTTTGTGCACTGTCTTAATTTATAGTTGGAAAATAGTAAAAAGAAATAAACATTGGGTTTAAACAGTCAAGAAAAAAATTACTTGGGTGACTCATGATTGAAACCTGAAAAACTAGTCGTAAACTAGATGAATTGCCCAATTCCATCCCTTCAAGAGTTGTATCACAGTGACCACATTTTCCTTTCTTAATCTCTCATCAGCTTTCCCTGGTAGCTTTCCTTTGATTCGGTTTCAGCAGAGTCACTTGAGAGGGTTAAGAGGATGCTTCACTGATCTTTCCTGAGTGCATTATTCATTCATGAATGACTCTGAAGCTCAAGTCTATAAGACAAAACAAGTTTTCTGCCAGAAATAGTCATTTTCCAAGCTCCCCTCAAGAGATGACATCTTTTCTCTGTCTTTATTTTAACAAGGTTGGAGCCTGGAAACATAATCAGCAGATATCCTGGTTCCAATGCATGCTAAATGAATTACAAGCCACAATCTGTTAATGAAAGGAAATCAAAGAGGAAATTAAATGCCCTCTTGTAATTGGGTCTATCATAGGGCAAGTTCATAGACACTGGGGTGGGGAGTAAAACAAAAAGAAGGAAGAGGCTGAAGTTCAGAGGTGGCCCAGAGCCATCCAATTTCATGATGTAAGTAGAATTTATGCCTGTATACATAAATAAATTTAATTTGAACTACCTACTATGTGTAGGCACTGGACCTGGCATAGGTGACAGTAAAAATAGGTTAAGGTCTTCTTTGAGTCTGGAGGCGGAGCAGACACAAAAGGATTACAATGCCTAGGGCTGAGGAGGACAGCATGCTATGAAATGGAACAGTGAAAAGACAAATGGTACAGAGGGCTCAGTAAGTGTGGAGTAACAAGGCCTGTAGGAAAAAGGAGAGCCAAGTCCAGAGACATGGGGAGGGAAAAGGAGAGCCATTAGTTTACAGACATGGGGGAAGGAAAAGGAGAGTATGAGACTAGAAACATGGGGAGGGAAAGGAGGGCCATTAGTCCACAGAAATGAGGGAGGGAGAGGAGCAAGGGCTCGATGCAGAGGAAACAACCTGGGAGTAAAAGCTGCATCAGGCTTAGGTCCTGGCTCAGATGAGAAACTGTATAAGGTCACCGTGCTACAGGTCAGCAGGGCAGTGGGACTATGGCAGAGTAAGACGAAGCTAATCTCAAGGGCTACAGAGGTCAAGTGTAGGCTTGTGGTTGTAGAGGACAATAGGAGGGTCATTAAAAGGTTTAATGGATAGGAGCTGGACAAAGCAAGCTTGTACATTCTGTGTAACTTCCTGTGAATCTATGATAAAAAATAACAGAAGGACTGGTGATACAGAGTATATTTTCAAAGGTCACACTGGATTCTGTTTTGTGTGGTGAATGAATCTGGATAAGAAAATGAGTAAATGTGAAGTTATTACAATGACCAGGCAAGAGGAATATTTGACAACACTGAAGATGACGGGAGCATTGTTACACCTTGCAGTTCTAATAGAGGAACTGTCTATGGCAGGATATGGCAGGTCAGGCCAGGGATGGCACTGCCGTCAGATTTCATTCCTGAGTACCTGGTGTAGATGGAGACCACTGGTGGAGATGTGGGACCAGGGGTGCAGGAATATGAGTAAAAGAAGAGTAAGTTTTGTGCTGTTAAGTTCAGCACATGTTGGATGCTCACGGGCAGATGGGGAGTGATATAGCAGGAAATATTAGATAGAAGTTGTTAAACACAAACCAAACAAAGACACCAATAATAGGCTGGGAGTGATAGCTCAGCCAGTGTAACCATGGGACCCAGAGCCAGAGGGAGAGGAAGAGGAGGAGGAAAAGCAAGAGGAGGACGAAGAGGATGAGGAGATACAGCGGCACGCACTGATAATCCCAGCCTGGGGTGGGGGGAGCCCTGGGACTTACTATTCAACCAGCCTGTCCTAATCTGCAAGTTTCAGGTAAAGTGAGAAACTGTTTTTTTTTTAACAGATAAATAAAAATGAAGGTGAAGGAAACCTGAGGTGCACCTCCAGCCTCTTCTCACATATACATACACATGCACACATGAATATACACACACACACACATACCCACCCCTTTCTGCAGAATATCCGCAAGAGTCATGGAACTGACATATATGGCTTAAAGTTCAGGATCAACACTTTGCCACTGTTAACCCTCTTGGTGTTTTCCTGGGTAAGCATCAGTGCCATTCATTTCTAGGTTCCTAGAAATGCAGTCTAAGAAGCCTTCTGTTTAGTAGGCATCCTCCTCACCCTGTTGTGTACTGGGGTCAGGCAGAGCCAGTGAGGACAATAACTTAACCTCTGTGTAAAAACACTTTGAGAGTGACAGGGGATGCTAACCAGATGGCAGTTGGAGGAAGGAGGAGAAAACCCTCTTTGGCTGGGTAGTCTGGGCTGTCTGG